ATTTTACTTCTGTAATGGCTTCACATTCATAGAACTTGCATCTCCTGATCAGTGAGCAGCAGCCCACAGGTACATTAGAAAAGCCCTGGAGGTCACATTAGAAAAGTGCAAAATCTGGAAGAAGAAAAAACAGAACAAATCTCACGAGCAGATTCCATGATAAGAATCATCATTTTAAGAAGGCAATTTGCAGTAACAATATTTAAACTGATTAAATTGAAAATTACTCTTCTATTATTATTTAACACACTCAAAGTCTGACACCCCCTGATATTTTGTCAGACTTCAATAGGTGCATAAGGGCACTTTTCAGCAATGCCAGCTTTCAAAAGTTTCTTCTACAAAACTCTTTAACTTAACTTGTATTATTAAATTAAATAGCAGCAAATTAATACAATAAATTTAGGTTCCAAGATAAGACACATTCCTTTTGGCTCAGTTACACATATGAAATTTCCCCTCATAAACACCACAGATGCAACTGGACAGCTGATTGTACCTGGCCATTCCCAAGTGAAGCAGATCCAGCAGAGAAGAAAAAATAGTGTGATGATTTAAAGCCAAAACAGTGCCATTTCCCTCCTACTTACTCTCTTTCTCTGTATCTTCCTTCACCTTTGTAGTAGAAAGGGTGTGATGCTTCTTCCTGATGTTCCGTGACTGGTTTCGCACTCTTAACTCACAAAAGAAGGCAGACACGCACTTGTTTTGCTCTGAGGATGGAGGAGGAGAATTCAGGAAGGAATTTGACACACCCTCTCCCCCTCCTCCAAATAAAAAGCAAAACCAATCAACACCTTCGAAAAGCCTTTAAAAATATTCTCAAGATCATAAGGTTAAGAATTCATTTCCTCTCTGCCATAGCGTTCAATAACTTGAGCCCATTTCTGTCCCAGAACTGTGTTTCCGTAGGGAGTCTGAGCCAGTTACCAGCATCAGCCTCCACTGTGCCTGTTTAGGCAAAGTGTAGCTCCGTGGATGTAAAACCCTCCTACTCCCACCTGTACGTTAACGACTTGGTTGCACTGGTGAGAACTTAAGACACAACAAGCATCGTTCACCCATAAAGCTGGTGAGAGTCCTGGTCCACTGTAGAGGCATAAACCGCCTGCTGAAGGTGGCACAGACCATGTCTGTAACAGAACCATCTGACATCTCCATTTGCAAAGCTTAACGTGCTTTTTCCTCCCCTCACTCCAGAAAGAGTAGGATCAACTGCACCAAGTTCTCTCTCTCACCACCTTCACAGCAACGAACCAGCATTGGCTACACCTGAACCCCTGTGCTCTGGCAGAACGTTACTAGACGAGCTGCACGTCAAAAGCACACTCGGTGCAGCTGCGTATTGCATCTAACCCATCCTTTATTTGCTCCCTTCGAAAGGCTGAGAGGAAAAGCTCAGACAGAAGCAGCAGTGGGAGGAAAGATTGCAATGGGCCCTGGAAAGACCGCAGGCAACTATAAAAAAAAAGGTAAGTGCAGTAATCCCCAGAAGCGACAGGTACTTGATCATCAAGGGTTTAAGGGAAGAGTGCTACTCGGGGCACCCACACTCACGTGTGGCCCAGTTTATGGGACTGATGCAATTTAAGCAACTGCTGAGAAGTCAGTTACACTGTTATTCCAGCTCAATATCCTTCTATTGTCCTTCTCCTCTCCTTGTCTCTTGACCACATGGTCCCCTCCATTACTTGCCAGTTTTCTCATGAAGCTCATTTCAACTTGTTAACCTGGCAGCGTTAAGAAAAGCATGAAAATCAGCAAAAGAGGAACCAGGTGGCAGCAGGACGCTCCCACCAGCAGCAGCAAGCCCCTAGATCAGCTCAGCCATACCATCAAACCCATCCCTTTCTTGGAATGTTCCACATTACGCCGAGCGGAGCTGTGGTTGCTCAGGAGGCACAGCGCGGAGCTCCAGGCCAAGGCTCCTGCTGCACAGGGCAAACCAACGGGGAGGGCAGCCCAGCTCCCAGTCACACACCAAGCCGGTGACAGCACGAGTGATGGAGAACAGGTGCCATGAGCCCCTGCCCCTTTACCCAAGGTTAAAAAAATGGTTCTGCAGGCTCCTGCAGATATTTCTCCAGACTTCCAACTTCCCATCCTCTTGAGATCATACAAATAAGGCTGTAGTCAGAAAACAGTTGCAGGTTCAATAGTTCTTTGTAGAAGCTGAGGCACCAGCACATGCAGAGCCTTCAGATGCTTGATGCTCGTTTTTTAATAGAAAAACCACACTTAACAGACACACTGAAACCTGCCTAGAAAACACAGCAAGGGGCCACAGCCCCTCGCAGCAGGAGAGCCCAGTAGCATCAAGCAGCTTTAAGAGGAGCTGCACAATTCAGACACACCATTCCAGCACAGCACAGACACACATGCCTCTTCTTCCTCTGCAGAGCAGCACGAGATTCGTTCCAACCCACCTGCCAGGAAGAAGAACACAGCCAAGCACAGCCAAGAACAAACGGATAAGGAGAAGGAAGAACAACTCTATTATTTCACTTGACAACACAGCCTTAACCACAGCATGGTGGGCTGATGCTGCTCTCAAAAACCGTTCATAGATCTACAGTTTGTTAGTCTTTGCTCAGTTGATGAACTTCATGGTCTCATGAAATTCCCTATCTTTTCCTACCCCAAGATCCTAGGGAAAGCTGTTTTGTCAGCCAACCACTCTTCCCTCCCACTGATCTGCTGCCTAAGAAAATAAACTAAAATTCTCTCATTTTGGTTCTCAGGCTCCTGCTAGCAGTAACGCTTTTCTCATTCAGTTTTTGACACAAACAGTGCTACCCCTACAAATCTGACCAGTGAGATTTATCACAGTCCTGGGTAAGAATATCTGTTATGGCATGACTAAGCCAGGCACCTGCCAGACATTTATTATAATGACAAATCTGTTACAGGACTATAAAAAGCAAAGGCTATGCTTTCATCCAAAGGATGGGTTTCATTAGACTCCACTCCACTACTGTGAAGAAGACTCAAGTGAAGGAAAACACAAGCTCTGCAGAAATCAAGACGCTAACAATTAGTTTTGTCAGATGCATCCATACAAAGAACACCACCCAGTCACAAACTGACCATAAAAAAAAGCTTTATTAACCCTTTTGCATCAGCAGTTCTTCAGGTATCCATTGCCAGCAACGGAGTTCAAGCCAAGTGATCCAATTTTCGGCCCCAAGAGGTTAGCACTTTACATTCACTTACAAAGCTCAGTGAGGTACATTTTCAGAAGTAGAAAGATTCGGTTGCAAGTCCCATAAAAAGATGGAGCATTCCTTGGCCATTTTAATAGATTACGAACTGGTATGGTCCTTGAGAACAGAATAATGCAGGCATTGGGAGCTCAAGGTGTCTCAGCTTCCAGGGAGAGCATGGCAACCACTAGCACAAGACCCCGTAGTCCCCCTTCAGCATGGTTCCTCCTCAACACTTCTACCTCTCAGGAGTGGACTCCATGCTGCAGTCACAGCTATCAGGCAGAAGATCTCATCCACCAATCAGTTTGGTTTGGAAACCCAACCTGAGAGGCTTAAGAAATTCCCTAGTCATAAGCTGTAAACTCAGGATGAGAAGAACAGAGAGAATTCAACTCTCAGTTAAGTAAAGATAGAAAAATAAAACTGGTTCAACCAGAAGATAAAACACTGCCTACAATCAGGATCTGAAGCTGAATGTAATCTGTATACTTTTTTTCCTCGCCAAGTCTTCAACCAAAAAAAACCACATTTATCTGGACACATACATAGTTCAAAAGGCACAGGAAGTAAAAGCATTTCTGAATGACCTCGTGTGAATTCAACATCAGTATAACTGTAAAATAAATAAATATGTGCAAGATTAGAAAGATCACAACGTTCTTCTGCATGACATATCTTGTTTTGTAAAAAAAAAAAATACACATACGTGCATATACACACACACCTGTTGAGAATAAAAACCAGTACATACACCCTTTATCAAACTCCTGTACATAATTTTATAGGCATTCAGTACATCACCATAAAAAACATTTAAATTACTACCTTAATATGTAACCAAAGGTGTGTTTTTTTTCCTATACAACTCTATACTTATTTAGGTGTCTGCAATCCAGATAAGTACAGCACATACAACCTCTCCCCTCCCCCCCTGCCCCCAAGAGAAACTGCCGTTTTTCAGTGGGGCAAATCTTCCTCGGTAACAGTTTTTTTCCCCTCATAAAATACTCTGACAATTGCATGTTCTGTAAACCACCCGGAAGCTCCACGTGCATGTGACACACTGGGATATCAATAAAGAACAAGTGTTAACAGTGTTCAATTGAAAAAAAAAAAAAAAAAATATAGTGGCCTGTTTACAGGTAACTTGGCAGCAGTTTATAGATGAGAGAAAATCAAGGTGCTTAAACTTACGTGACGGTCAACATTCCTCCCAAAAAAGGGAACGTGAAGACAAAATGAACCTCTCTCAGATGCTGTTGGACTCTTAGCTAATCACTTACAGTGAGTACAGTTCTATTGCAGTTTTCAAGTTTTGCTGGAAGAATTCAGCAAAGTATTTGGGACACAGGAGCAAGGAAAGGGAGAAACTCAACATGAGCTACAAACTGATTCACAGCTAAGTTAACATTTAGAATCTAGCTTTCTAAAACAAAGATTTTAGAGCATCTCATTGTCATGGCATAGGACATTAATTTTGTTACATGTGACTCTTTTTTCCCGTCTTCTGTCAGAACACAGGGGCCGAAACAATTATTTTTGTGTGTGTGAAAAACACTTGCAAATTTTAGCTCTTAATTCCTCAATGCCACTGGCTCCAGCAGGAGACCAACAGAAGGAAAGTTTTAACTGTCTTAGGCAGGATTATAAATTTGTACTTGTTAGCTGTAGAATACTTGCTTTCCTGTGAAAACAGTAAATATTACCTCAGTTTGAAGTTTAATACAGTACTTCTCCCTGAAACAACACTGTACAGCAGTCTGCCTCAGTCCCTCCAAGCACAAGGCAGACAGGGTATCTTACACAGGCACATCAAGTGAGATTTACACTTTTAAAGAAAATCTTTCAGCTGCAATTGTCCTTAGCAAAGAGTGCAACCATAATCCCGTACTCCTGATTTCCATATTTTCCTTGAAAAAAGACCCACACAGTTATCTCACTCTGTCAAGACATGATTGCCCAATTTGTTTTCAAGTAGCTGTTCTTAACACTGGTCATTCCAGATCCTGTAGGTTTATTGTGCTTCCAGTGAACTGAGAGTTGTCAGAACCTGCATCATCTTCAGTGGAATTGTGTGGTTCCTGTTAAAGCAAACAGACAGCATGAAGAGTTCAGTGCTTCCACCTCTAGGAGCCTTTAGCTTATGAGGAAGATTACCTTGACATTCATCCAAGACCAGAGAAACGCTTTGGATGGATTAGAGGAAACCCAAAGCTTTCCTACTTTGGGGACCCGCTCAATCAGTGCCACTCCAGTTTTTCTTTGGAATGCTCCAGATGAGCATTACTAATGGGGATAAATTTAAAATCATTGACTATTTGGTTTTCCTCTACTAATTTTCTACCATGGCCAATGATCCTAATACTTCTAGGTTTATCGTAGTAAGGTGCTCCTCTCAAATACAAAAGATGTATTTTCTACCCAGGGGAAGCACACTTGGTAAGAATAATGGCATTGCAGAGTTGATCAAAATCAAAGCCCCACATGGTCAAGTAGAAAACGCGATTTATGTACATGCTAATAATCCATTGCTGCTTGGTTCTCAGCTGCTCCTACACACTAACATGCAGTTTACCAGAATAGCAGATAACTAAACATTTATGCAAGAAGCTATATGAAGCTTTCTGCATTCAAACAATGTGGACATTCAGTAGTCAACAAAGGCAAGTAGTGAAACCAAAGACTGTAGAAGCGAGCAGACTTTTTAATCTGCCATTCCAATATAGACATTGCTCTGAAATCGAGGCTAAAGATTTTATTTCCCACTTCCCATCCTTCCTGTAGCCTGTTACGTATCAATGCTGATCCTCTTTCTTGGTCCGCTTAGTATCTGTGGGATGGGATCAAGAAAACAAGGATGGGGCACTTCAGTAATAAATGAGTAATGTTTAGTTATTCATTACTCAGTAACCAAGGAAGAAAAACAGCCACCTATGACGTATCAAAGGCTGGTAACATACACAGGATAAATCTTGCAGTGCAGCTCTCCATTTACTACTTCTTGTAAGTGAAATTAAACCCCCAATGGAAAACAAGGTATTTTCATTAGGTAGAACACCAGTGTTGACAGTAAACTGTCTTCGCTTTCAAGCTCGGCAATAAAATCCAGCTGCTCTGACATGCTGTACCTGAAGTATGTGAACAGGTAAATCCACTGTAAGCTGAGAATGCGACGAGGAGGACTGAGAGCTCAGTTGAAAGGGCAAATCTCCCTCTCCCGGGGAATCATCCTGTAAATGCAGAAACACGACGCAATTACAAGACCCCCAAACATCTCAGCACAATATAGCAAATATCACAGCCTCGTAATCTTGAAAATTCTGATAAAGCTACCGCATTGTACTAGTAAGGTCTAGATCCACAAAGATACGTGGAAAGTTAACTGCCATCTAAATCTGAACCTAGCTCAGCGTACAACCTGTTATCCTATCATAATCAATGCGGAAAACCAGCAAGATCTAAAAAGGAAAGAAGGAACGGTCCATCTTCCAACAAACATAACACTCAAACATGCGACAAGTTTCATCATGTTGTGTTGACACTTAACAAAAGTAACAAATGTTTACACCCATCAGAAAACTAGACAGAGGGAGAACTCTGCCCATAGCTTCCTCCATATTATATGTTGTTAGGAATAAAGTGGAATGAACTTATCCTCTCTCTGGATAACTATACAGATATGCACCTGGCCAAAAATGTATTATCCACTAATTACTGTACAAAATACAATACAGAACTGTATTACTCAACTAATCAGCCCACATGGATTACTAAGCATTTTTAGAAAAAAAGTCTTAAGCTTTATTTCAACACTTTAGAGAAATAAAAGTTTAGGCTGAAACTTCCTTTTGCAGGAATATTTTCACGTCAGTCTCATTTACCTTGTAAATGAGAGAGAGGTGGAGTAATGCAAGAATTTGCATGGGTGTCAACAAACTAAAAAACTGGAGTAAAAAGTCATACTGCCGTGCATTCCCTAAGGTAATGCAGGCTAATAATCCCTTCCTTTTGGAAGAATAATTACTCCATGCTTTGGGACAGTTGTGTAGCATCTGTTGCGCTGCTCTCATAACTGCCTGTCCAAACTGGGAAAATCCTAAGCCTTTGAAGGATCACAACTCTCACACGCAAAACAGAAGTTTACTAAAAGTCTTACTTCCATCACAGCGTTTCCCACATCAAGTGTATCCAGCCTAAAGCCTAAGAAGCTGAGAAGATGTTCTCTACAGTTACAGTGCCCATATGTTCCAGGGTGGACTGAGTATTAGTACTAAACCAAATAATGACATCTTACCCATTTCCACAATGCATCTGTTTGGGCCCCCAGCAGTTGTATGACTGAATCAGCTCTGTTTTCAGGCATTTCTACACCTCTGTAAAGCCAGTTTCATATGAACTTCCCAGGAAAGTGCTTCTTGTGGGCAAAAGCCCTAATGGACATGGTACATACTGCAGATCTCAAGATCTCATCTAGGAGCAGTAGTACCTGAGTTCACAGATAATCACATTTTTCCACAAACGAGAAGATGAGCACATTTTTCCTCCTCAGCTCTTACCTGAAGAAGTTGAATTTGCACATACTGGGCTCCAGTGGTAGGGTCCCTTATTGTCAGCCCTCCGTTTGGCAGAACTATGTTGCCACCCAGTCGACTGCCAGGAGTGGATGATGAGAAGTTGGTAGGGCTTACTTTACCACCTTTGCTTTTTCTCTGACCAGAGCCAGATGCTCCTAAAAGAGGGAAATTGTCATATTTAGATGGTCAGAAGCAATTTGTCAAAGTTTCCTGCTAGTATTCTTTCAATTTTATGTAGTTATTTATACTACACAGCAAATGCCTGGAACAGTGCAATATAATTAAGCATGTGATAACTACTAAAAGGCCAGACTGCAATCAGCTGATGAACTCCAACTGCTGACTGAGGATCTTCTTACATGAATACCACTAAAACCACATCACTAACTGATAAGCTTAGGGCTCACCCCTGCGGTAGCACAGAAATATCAGCATATTTGTGGAGTTATAGAAAAGAAATAGGAAGTAGAATTGCATTTTCTATTTTTAATTTTGCAACTCATTTCCTGAGAAGCCATGTAAATCCTTTTTCCAAGCTGTAAAAAGAGCATAGTGACACTCATCTATTTCCAGAATGATTCCAAGGATTTTTAGGTACAACAGGCTACAGAAGTACAACAATTACAACCTTAAGCATTTTTCACTTTAAAACAAGACGAAACAGCTGCTTGTATCACAAGCTGAAAACCAAAAAGCTAATAAAAATAAATGTAAAGATACAATCCTGTCAGCTGTTTCAGCATTCAGGTTTTTTGTGGTGTTTTGTTTTTTAAATCTCAAGTAAATAAAAGGCTTGGATAACTTCTTTTTAAACATTGAACTTCCCTTTACAGTGTTCATTCAACCTAGTTAAACCAATTAGAAATACAAGACTCTTCAGACCACTTTGAGAAGCAGGTAGTAGCATTAAGGCAACAGCTGGTGGAAAATGGACTACTGGGAGTCTTGAGCAGGAACAGAAAAAGGAATTTTCTGAGGTCATTTTAGAAAACATGCAGATTAAGTGCAATCACCTTTTTAAACTAAAGTCCAAAAGACATGTTTGATGACACAAGCACACTTAGAACTAGCTTCATGCAGTTATCCTTCCGTGTGATGATTCACTGAACCAGCCAGAACTTATGCACGTATGCCTCTTACAAATACAGAAACACGACAGTGCTCAATTCACAACTAGTCTCTCAACTCACCTTAAATATTATCACCTTCATTTTCAGAGGTGGAAGGTATTAAGACAGCAAAGAAGAACTAAACTATGTATCTGTGTATCTACCATGTTTCACCCCAGCCCCAAGGGTAGACACATGCAAATGCTTGAGCTCAAACAAGTCTGGTAGCCATGGTCCATTTTTGCTCTGACAAAGAAACTGTGTGTAATTCACACCAGAGAGCTCCGAGTCAAACCACAGTTTAAGAGAAAGGCGATACATTTGAAATCATGACCTAAACCTCACCCTGCACAAGAACTCTCTAGATGGCTAAAATCTAAGAGGGAGGTTCAAGTATTTCTAGATAACTAAGAAATAAATTCCTTAACTGCAGTTAAAGAATACACACTAAATGAAACATAAAAGCAAAACAAATCCAGCTGATGTTTTCATTATCTGTACTGAGTAAAAGAGAACCCACTAGGTAAGACTAAAAGCATAAACAACAGAAAGCAAAGTGACCTTGAATTTTCTTTGGTTTAGTAAGAAAATAAAAAGCAGATGAAGAGATGGAGAGATAGTGTCTGGTTAACAATCATGAAACATATGGTGCGGATTTCTTCGTAAACTTACTGTGAATTTGATTTTCCCCAGAATGTGATTATCCTGACTAACAGATGGTACACCACATGCACAATTATTTTAACTAGCAATAAACTAAATATTTAAGTATGCACGCAGATACCTGCTCTCATTTAACCACCAAAACGCCTAAATAATTCTATTTGGTAAACTTGACAAAATTAATGGCTTCTCACCTGTGCTGCTCCCATTCCCTTTTTGTTTTCTTTTCTTGGCTAGCTGAATGGCCCTGTAGTCTGTTCTTGCAGACCCACTGCTCTCCTATTAAAAAAAAAAATAAAGCCAAGAAATGTAAAGTTTTTTGGATGCAAGAACAAACCAAGACAATGAACACAGACCAATGAGCTCTCAGTTGCACTTATCTTTTACACTGCAAACACTGAATTTGAGTTTCCCATGCTCATCTGATTAGAGTTTCAATAAATTCCCTGTACGTACTTAATATATGAAGTTCAACACAAAAGGAAGGTGGCTCCGCATTTATAAGTGTTCAGATTTTAACAGTGTAAACATTTACTTTGTAATGTAAATAAACAGTTAAGTCTGCAGTAACATAGTAGAGCAGAAAGGGAAGAGTACTTAAAACAGGAATGAAGATCCAGAGGAAAATGTTTGTTGCTCTCCCAGCCCAAATCTCTCCCTGGAATGAAATGTACAAGACATACCACATGTTCTTGGGTATTCTTGTAAATTCCACTTCATCCTCAGACAGACAGCCACTTATTTTTTTAATGCTTTACTTTGGAAGGTTCTCCCTTAACTCTGCCCACCAGAATTCTAGTATTTTTCAAGAGAACTTATCACCACACTGAATACTTCCGACAACACACTATTCAACACAACGTTCCACATCCTTCATCAAAAAAAGCCAAAACACATGATCTGCAAAATCTGAGAGAAAGGTCCCCCTACAAGGCACAGGTAGCAATGGACATCCCCAAAGTCAGGATGTCTGTCATCTAGGGGTAAAATGAATGTAGCTACTGCATACCAAAAACGAGCTGCCAGTCACGGTGCCAAGATCCATTTCTTTCTGTGCGCTGTAGCTCCCTGGAGGGTTGGAGAAGACAAACTGCGTGACCACTCTGCTACCCTCTTGTTGACCAACAACGTCCGAGCTAGGAAGCAAATTCCGTTCAACTTTAGATGGTGTTAGTAACTCAGGCACGTTGGCACCACCGAGGCTACTAGAAGGAGTCAAAGTGGCCGTGTCGATTGTTAAATTACTGCTGGATGTCAAACCGTGCACATCTTGGCTGGAGTTCCTCACCGACAGAGATGCCAGAGAACCCAAGGCTTCCGCATTGACAGTCTGTACATCATCCAAATTTAAAGTGCTTTGCTGTAGAACTGTCGCACCAGTCCCCAGCAAGAGAGAACTGTCCAGGCTCTGCGGCATATCGCTGCTAGCCACCAGTATCAAGGGATCAACTGCCTGGCTTAAAGAATTGTTACTGACAGGCAGGTTTCCTCCGAGCGTTGAGCCCACTGAAGCAACGTCGATCGTGACAATTCCCGAGTTCACTAGCGCCATGTCTGTTGCAATTCCAGAATTGTTACTAGACACGTTGGAGAAGAGGGATACGAGGTCTATATTGCTGAGATCGCTCTGTCCCGGACTAGTGAGTTCACTGCTGGGTGTGAGGGAGCTGGTTGCTTCGAGCTGAGTTAGGAGATCTGGAAGAGAAGGGTTTAGTTATAAGACAGACAACGGGGAAGAAAAATATGTGTGATCAAAGGAAGAAGCTTAAAACTACATTCTCAGCCTACCAGAACACTTCCCAAGACTTGCCAAAAGACAACACCAGGGCAGTCCAGACTAAGTTAAGTTGTGGAGGAGTGGAAAAAGGAGTGCAAAAAGAAGTGCTTTTAGTCCTTGCTCATATTTCACAGATGGCATGAAGAGGGACAAGCTCTACTTCATTCAAAAAATCTGCAATTTCTCACAGCTTCATACAGGTCAAGCTCAAATCTCACTTTCTGACACTCCGTTACAGGTCTCATTGAAAATTGTAAGGGAGGAAAACCAGCTCCAGTGTCGCTGAAGATTCTACTGTTCATATCGATGGGGCTCAGATTCCAACATCAGTAAACACATTTTCCTTAATAAAGATTTAATTTTCCCATTGCACAGTCTGAAACAAATACTTTACCTGGGCTGAAGTTATGCTGTTTGACCATGTGCGTCTTCATACTGTGTTTGGAAGTGAACAATTTATTACAGCTCGAAACAGGGCAACGAGTCTTTAACGAGTCCACGTCCTGAAGATGTTTTTTTGAGTGAATGTACAGACTACTTCGCGCTGAAAATTTTGCACAACAGCCTGCAAGAAGATATACAAGGCTTTAAAGTTTCATCTAATTTCAATCTGATGTTCATGTTTAGTATCTTAACAGATCAGAGTAGCTCTGCAAAATTCTATTTGCTATTTTGCAGCACCTGTGCACACAATCAGAGGAATCAGAAGCAAGCCAGAAACAACATTTCCTCGCTTTACATCAAGGACATCTCAGAGTGTAGGGTTGTGCAACAACCTGTTTCTGACAACAAGAAGCTCTTGAATCATTCAGTGTAACGCACAGTCTTTCCCTGTTATGGCATCTTAAATGTAAACTCTTCATGACAACTGCTAGCAAACCATTAAAAGGAGAAACAACCACCAAATAGAGCTGCTTTACTTTATGAAGCAGAATATTCCAGATCAGACTCAAACCTTCATTCTTGGAGTCCTACTGAAGTGATGGAGGTAGTGCTAAGAAATCCACAGAGCATCAGCGAGGCTCCCGCAAGACCACAAGAAATACTACTCACACAGCCATCCACCATGCCAACAGCAGAGACTACTGCAGCGCAGCCACTGAACACTCGAGATGACATGTCACAACAGCAAAATGTGGCCTTCAACACATTGGACAGGACCACTTTTCATTACTTCTGATGAATCACGTGAAAAAGCTCAGCTACAGAAACTGAATATCAGAAGTAGGGTTTTCCAGAATAAAGTAGCCCCATTCACCATAAAAAGAAAAAAAAAAAGTCAAGCTAGAGCGTGAACCAATGTTTTCTCCACAATCTGTAAATTTGAGAATGATCACTCATTCAGTTAGTGTGTTCTGTTTAGTTCTACCTTTTCAAACACAGTTGGAAGATCCACTCTAAATTGCTCCAGTCCTTAACAAGCTCGCATTGGGGAAAAGGCACACAATCTTTAGGCAATACACACACTAATTACCAGTTAACACATACAAGAGTGGAACAATACCTTCTACTGGACACTCAAATGGTTTTGTACCAAGGTGAGTTATACTGTGGCCTTTCAAGTGTTCTGCTCTTGTGAAGGACTTCCCACAGCCTTCTACTGGGCACATAAATCTCCTGTCATCTTCGTGTTTCCTACAAGGGAAGGAAATCGCCATTGGAATGATTAAATCCACTGCTGCTTAAATACTGGAATTAAAACAAACACATAAACAGCAAGTGACTGGACCAGAAAAGGCTACCTTTTATGTCTCAGCAGCTTGGACATACTGGTGAAAGACCAGCCACATCCTTCAAAGTCGCAGATAAAAGGCCTTTCACCTTAAGCAAAGAAAGGCTGCATTAATAATCCAATACAGAAATACACACTGCTACAAGAAAATCTCAAGAGCTGCTTAAATTGAATTAATTTAAGATAAGAAGACTCAACAGCCTCTCCTGCAGTTCACTGTGGAGTACTGTGATGCCCCTTCCTGCTCATACAATGTCTTCTTTAACTCAAGGCCATCGTGTATTTCCCTACGCATCAGGGAACACAGGCAATTATCAATCTATTCTACACTAATTTGAGCTATCTTGAAGGTGTTTCAATAACTAATAACAGCATTACTCAAAACAGAAACACAGCTGAAAAGTTTTTTGCTGTTTTCATGACCTGCGATTATATGTTGATCGCAATATAGTGAGGTATGTGAGTTAGTTTTCATCGCGTCTATGACCTGTCACTTAACAAGAGAGACACTTAAAAAAAAAAACCACAAAAAAAACCCAACCCCACACTATAAAGTCACAAAACCCGGAAAACAGAGGACAGTACAGAGTACACATAATTGTCTTTAAAACATTTAAAGGCTGCATTTCAGTTTAGCAGTGGTCCTTGCAAGTCAGGAGTGCCTGCTTGAGTGGGAACTTTTCTTCTTGCTGTTCCAAACCTTGGTACATGTTTCACATGTTCTTAAGAGTTTTTTAGCTGTTTGTTTTGACCAAGATTAGAATTTATACAATGTTTTGACTGTCTATGAACTTGGGAATAGAGCTGGGATAATTTTTCTGAACAGAGTTCACATGCCAAAAGCCACAGCTTTGCATGTCCATAGCTACTTTATATCTGGCAAGTTCATTCAGCAGACTCTTACCCCCTAGAAAGCCAAGAAACAAAACGTTTTCACTGACTCCAAATAACTCATGTCACCCTTTCTCCCTTCATGACTTCAGTTTTTCCAGCAAACTGAAGTCCGCTCTCCACATATCACCTTCCATGTACTTCCCCAGGTACCAGTCACCCTCATGAATACCTGTGTGACTCCTCATGTGGATTTTCAGTCGGCAGGCTTTGTCATACTGCTTGTTGCAGCCAGGGAAAGAACAGGAAAACTGCTCTTGCTCTCTGAAGTGGGCTCGATTATGGGAGAATAACGCACTCACTGTGATAAACGTTCTTTCACAGCCTGGGGAGAGGAGGGAAACAGCACATCAGTTCGATACAAAATGGAATCAGGAAAACTGCGTTCTTTTCTCCCTCCCAGCTTTCAGTGAGGGACCTTCACGATTTAGTTTACAGGATCCTGGCACATGGTAAAAAAAACACACAGTGCAATCCTAAACGACGTTACCCCCAGGGATTACAATTATTTAGCCAAGGTGGGCAGCCAAAACACGTACAGCCCAGTTTAAGGCACACCACTGAAGATTCGTGCTGTGACTCAGTGCGTTCCACTACACCAGCACAAAGCCACGCGTAAACTGACCAGCGAAGGAGCAGCACCCTCCAGCTCCCGAATTTTCCCTCTTGATAACTGAAGGGGCCTGGAGCGAGGGCCCGCCTCGGGACTCGGGGGGAAGAACCGAAGGAGAAGGAAGGGCAGAGGGGCGGAAAAGCGAGCTGAGCCGCGGCACGGACTCCGGGAAGGGACCCCATCCTCACCGGGGCGACCTGGTTTTGGGAAGGGGAGGGAAGGGAAGGGAAGCAAGCCCCAGAGACCCGGCGGCGGCTTACCGGGGAACTCGCAGCGGTAGGGCCGCTCGGGCTCCAGGTGGCTGCGGCGGCGGTGGGCGGCGAGGCGGGCGGCGCTGGGGAAGCGCTGCCCGCACGCCTCGCACTTGTGCGCCGCCTCCTGCTCGTGGGCGCGGCTGTGGGCCCGCAGGTTGTAGACGGTGGTGAAGCGCTTGGTGCAGCCCGGCGCCGCGCAGGCGAACGGCCGCAGCTTGTCGTG